CCAACACTGTTGCGGCTCTGGATGCGGAGTTGGAGGCCAGTCTCGAATGGATTAATCATCCTGCTGTCTTTGGCCGGGATAGTAGAAAAGCCGTACTGCAAGCGATTGGCGTGATTAGCAGTCAGCGTGGTTACACCTTCCGCACCACGGTAGAAAGTCTTTGGGCGGGTCGCGTGAGCGGGATTAAGAGAATGACGGACCGCAGTCGGGAATGGAGAGAGGAAGGAGGGGGTGAGGTGGGGATTATGGAAGAGAGTTGAGACTGCGTCTTGCTTTGCATTGGAGTTTATCTGCGCTCTTCTTCTCTCTCTCTCTCTGCCTCTCTCTTTTCGTTTAGATGATACCTCATAGTTGTTTTTCCGGCAACAACTTATTTTTCACATTTTATGAGCATTTCTTCCGGAGATGGACATTTCATTATTTTAACTGTACCATATATTTCAGCGCGAGGTTTAGCGCACTTTGAGCACGGCAGAATTTGTCTCTGGTTCTGGTTCTGGTTACTATCATACACATACCCCCTTTTGTTATCTATGGATTTCTTTGTTGTTGTTTTTCTTCTCACTATTTCATTTCTTCACGGCTCGAATGAATGCTCGGTACGTGTGTACTTTGGTCTCGAGGTCGTTGATGGTCCCACTCTCCCACGTCGTTGGGGGAGGTAGTTGGTGGTGTTTGGATATTATGCAATGGGATGGGATGGGATGGGAAAAACATTTGGATTTTTGGAGGGAGGGAGGGAGGAGGGCGGGATCTGGGATCTGGGATGGAGATTAAGATTAAGATCCAGATTATTCGCTTTTTTGATATGATGTGATGATGATGGATGGATGGGTGGATCGGTGGTGGAGAGGGTTTGGTTTATTGTTGGGTTTGGGGTGGGGATTCGGGTGGATGAGATGGATTGTTTGGGAGTGAGTGAGTGAGTGAGTGAAGAGAGATTTTGAGGGAAGCTGTGGGTGGTGTGTGGATGTGATGAGATGGATGGATGGATGGGGTAGCAGGTAGATAATGAATCAATGGAGAGAGATGTTTTTTTCGTTCATTTGATTTTGATTTTGATTTTGATTTGGGGCTTATAGTGATGGCTTTTCTATCTGATGAGAAATTGTGGCTTTACGTGAGTGAGTGAGAAATGTCCACGGGTTTCTGAATTTTGTGGAGTGTTTCTGTTTCATTTTCTGTTTCTGTTTTTGCGTCTAGACTAGAGAGTGGCTCGATTCGGCTCGGTTTGGTTTGGTTTGGTTTCTGAAACTAGGTAGGTAGGTAGGTGGGTGAGTGGGAAGGTGTACTGGTGGATGGTAGAATGATGAGTGGGGCTTTTTGTGAGTGGGTAGGTGAGTGAGTAGGTGAGTATGTATATATGTATACATGTTGTGAGATTCAAGGGTCTTGATTGAGAATCTTGTGGAGTATTTTATGTTTATTTAGGTTTATTTATGCTTAGTTTGGAGGGGTGGTTGGTTGGTTGGTTGGTTGGTTAGGTGGTTAGGGGTTAGGGGTTAGGGGTTAGGGGTTGGGGTTTTGTTGGGTTAGTTGGGGTGATTGTTGGTGAGGGGTAAGGGGGGATGGAGGGAGGGAGGGAGGGAGGGAGGGAGGGAGGGAGGGAGGGAGGGAGGGAGGGAGGGAGGGATGGAGGGATGGAGGGATGGAGGGAGGGATGGAAGGATGGAGTGATGGAGGGATGGAGGGATGGAAGGATGGAGTGATGGAGGGATGGAGTGAGTGAGCAAGTGAGTGGGTGAGTGGGTGAGAGTGAGTACAATGATGTTCTATAGCTTGGTAGGTAGACATTGAACATTAGGAAATAGAAAGAAACTGGAAATTCTATATAGATTGCTGAGGGTAGGCTGATGGGATTTGATTGTTAGAAATTAGAATTAGATGGTTGGGTTTGGAAGTTTGGGGCGGGGGCGGGGTAACTTTAAGTGGTGATTTTGAGAAGAGGAGTTTGGGCTAGAATAGGTTAGAGTAAGTGAGAGTAGGGGTAAGGTGATCTTGTGATATGGGATGAATGGATAAATAAGGGATTGGGGGTAGGAGATAGGGGTTGGGAGGAAGAGTGGAAGGACTGGGGGAGGGGAGTGGGGAATGGAAAGGAAGAGGGCTAGCTAGTCGCGATGAGATGAGATGATGAGCGGAGCGGAGCGGAGCGGAATGTGGACGTGGATGTGGATGTGAAGTTTGATGAGGGAGATATGTGGGTGTGATGGGTTGGTGATGTGGTGATAGGGGATTGGATTGGATTGGATTGGACTGGATGGGATTGAGTTGGATGGCTTGAATAGCTTGAATGGTTAGGAAAATTGGGAAGGTAGAATACATAAATATATAAAGCTTTAAGGAAAATTGCCGGTACGGTATGGTAGAGTAATGAGTCAAGTTGATAAATTATGTAAGGGGGGTGATAATATGATCTAGATGACAATCCTGGTGGTACTCTTCCCTAGTAAAAACCTCTTCAAGTTTAAATCAGAGGAAGTAATACTTCTTTTTCTTTTGCTTTCCTCGAGTAAGCTTTTCGTATAGGTTTCTGTGGTTGAAGGTGTGGGTGTAAGTACTTGTAAATTATCTTCTCTCTTGTGTGGTGCTGGATGAGAATGGGAAGTCGAGAGGTGAGAGATCCAAGTGTGGTAGATCGATTGCTTGATTTTAATGATTTTTCTCGCTGCTATTTAGTGTTATCAATTTTTCATCTCGAAGATTGCTATTCGAGATCTCGTCGACTTTCTATGATCTCGCACTTTGTTCTCGGGTATGTGAAGAATGAGTTCATCAGGAGTTCTGATATCACATCCTTTGGACATGTATTCGCGCCCTATTTTGAATAAGAATTATCTGGATTACCTTTCAGAGGGTTCTCTACCCTTTGTTGAGATTTGCGGAGATCAGAATAGGATTGCTGGTTTATATCATTCTTCAATTGATGTCCTTTCCGCCATGTCCTATGGTGTTGGATACGTTCGATATGTTTTTGCACGGCGTTTTTGAAGCATTTTGCTTTTTAATTCTCTTTGAATGATTTGTTTGAATGGTTTGAATGGGTTATACACAGCTCTCTTTCGACAATTTTTGACTTGAACTTACGATTTGCATTGAAATCACCTTAAGGGAGTGTATGTCTTCGCAATTTCCCCCACCACTATGCGAAACCCTCTCCATTGCTTTTTATCTTTGCCTCTCGCAGATTGCTTTATTACCTGTTCTTCTTTGCAAATTAATGTAAGACATCGTATTTCCTGTTTGGTTGTATTTTTCGATGACCTCATGAAATCGCACGTGTTGGTTGTATGCTTGGTCGATACCCAAGCTCGCCGGAGAAGCTGCGTTTTTTTATTGGTTCTGATGAGCTTCAACTGTAAGGGAGCTCTTGGTGAGATGATGCACATTCCTTTTGATGAAATATTCATTGTTTACGGGTTTTGTGAGTGATGTTCGTAAAATTGCATTTTCTTGATTGTCACGTACTAGAATATCATGGCTTTGATGTGTTTATCAATTGAACGTAAATGGAGCAATTGAGAAGGGGTTGAACTTTCGTAGAATTCTGTTCGTGTTCATTCTTGTAAATGAGCTGATATGCTTCCCAAGAGACTTCCACTTCCTTGGGATAAACAAAACCCATTTATTCTAGAGACGAGAGTTCTAGATCATTGGCTTCAGCGTGTATTTGAACCTCTCCCACTATCTTTTGGTCTGACTTGCATTGTCTTACTTGCATTATGTATCGATCAAGGTATATCATATCAGCTTGTTCGAGCTTCCTGACTCTGACGATGACCAATCAGCATGTAGTGGGTGAACTTGGAATGATCCATAATCTGATGTTCTCTTTATGGGGTCGAGGAATTATTTGGGATGATGACCAAACCAACTCTGTTACCATGAAGAGATCGACTGGATACGCAGCTTCAAATTGTTCACACTTTGGAGCTAGTGACATCATGATGCCAAGATTGTGCTTTGGATAAACATCGCAATGTTGAGAATCCGATGTCGTGTTGGTTTCTATCATGAGCGATACAGGGAGAGAGGTGGATAGAAGGTGATTGATTGTCAGATTAGATTAGATTAGATTAGATTAGATTAGATTAGACATGGAGGGGTAATTCTAGACTCTGACTACAGTGATATAAGTAATGTCTTAAGACCAGAAGAAATATACCTACCCTTGGGTAGAATTATATCTTCTTCCGTTATATTTATATATTTATATATTGGCATATTGACACATTGACATGTTGATACATTTACATACTTACCTAGGTACCTATATAAGAGGGCTATGTAATCTCTGCTATCACTCGAATATCCCTCCTCGTGTTAAGATCAATCAATCAAAACCAACGCCCAAAGTATAAACAAATAAGCCAAGCCAAGCCAAGCAAACTTGCATGATATCCACGAATGCGAAAGCGATTGTGTGGAAATTGAACTGGCTTTATCTCATACGTATCCTATCGTAGATGTCCTGGCGGTCGAACCCAATACAGGATAAGTATCATAATCCTACATTAGCTGCGAGGTATACTGTGGGTATCAGTGGAGGTCAAGTAAACGTTCCCAATCACATTTCAGCATTTATAGCCCGGACAGACGATAAGATGGGAAATCTACAGACCTTCCCTCAAACAGCCTATTCATCTCAAGTCAGATATGCAACAAAATCACGTGATGAACGTAAAATATTCTAGGATCGAGGGATAATAATAACAACGATGCACGAGGGATCCAATGATTCGAATGGATTTCTTAAGGCCACAAGGTATCAAAGGTATTAATAAGTACCAAGCCAAGTCGTTCAAGCATTTATAATAGTAAGGCGTCAATCGAAATGCGTAGTCAAACAAGGATTGCATGAATCGAACAAGGATATTCCAGATCAGAGAAACCTTGATTCGGTCATTGACGTGAAAATGCGAGAAGGCCGAGAAAGGGCTTACTTATCAACTTATCAAATCTGGCTAGCCAAACGACTCGTTTTAAGGTTTACGGCAAAGGACTTTGATCCTCAATGCTGTTGTTGTTACCTATGTTTAATGAATCTTTTCTTCTTATTTTGATACCAAGCTGCATGTAATCTGTCTCCCACACCGTCTTTCTTTCTTTCTTCCTTTCTTTCTTTCCTTCTCTCTCCATACCAATAAGCAAAGCTTTGCCATGTCGACTTCCCCGGAGCAGAAGGCATCAGTCTCATCTACAAACGATGCGACTGCACCGCAAAATAATCCCACCACCACTACATCAGGAGAGGTCAAAGAGAAGGGCGCAGAGAAAACAATATCATGTGTATCGTGCAGGCGTAGGAAATTGAAATGCGATCGAGTAAAACCCAAATGCGGGACATGTGGCAGACTAAGACACGAGTGCGAATATCCCGAGAGGAGGAGAAATATAGGCACAAAGAGGAGAAATATGAAAGAATTGGAAGCCAGATTGGCACAAGTGGAAACCCAGCTCGTGGCAGAGGCGCAACAACTCGCTGCGAATAATGCGAAGAATGCGAACAATGCGACTGAGATGAACGTAAATACAAACGCGGATTTGACTGGGAATATAGATACAAATGCAAATGCCGATCCGCACTGGACTGCTATGAACATGGATATGGATATGAATTTTACAGATGAGGGAATACAAAATATAGGATATAATATCTTGAGTGGAAATGTCGGCGCTGAACCTTCAGTACCAATTGGAGACTACTTTTCTCAAGATGTCATAAGTTTAGGACTACAAGAACCTCTGCCTCCTGATAATCTGATGGATGAATTGTAAGTTTGGATCCTTAGTGCAAGAAATACACACATACTGATGGAACAGGTTCCGAATATATTTCGAGAGATTTCATCCAACTTTACCCATGATACACAAGGGCCGGTTCTACGCCGCTCTAAATATGCCCACAAACCATAGACCGCCAGTTACTTTGCGATATGCTATGATGACGATAGCAGCATGTATGAATGTACCACCCTTTTTTACCACGAAAGCTAACAGGACTAGCACTTTCGGACAACTACCAGAGTTATGCTGAAATCTTCTACGAGAGAGCTAGAAGATACGCTGAGATTACGGAGATGAAGGTTCGTCTTTTAAGGATTGACTCCACCTCCTTGATATTGATGTGATTTAGGGACAAGGAGAGGGTTTAATGTGTATACCTGCTGTTCAAGCTTGGTCACTCATTAGTAATTATGAGGCCACAAATGCCTATTTTGGTCGAGCATGGATGAGTACGGGAAGATGGTAAGTTTCACGTTGCATCTCAAAATTACATACTTACAATCCAGTTCACGATTATGCCATATGCTTTCACTGCAAAGGCTTGATGCAGAGGGACCTTTTGGAGGAAAAAAGTTACTACCTCCATCGAAGGATTGGATCGAACAGGAGGAGCGACGAAGAACATTCTGGGCAGCCTACTATGGTGACAGATGGTCTAGCTGTGCTACGGGATGGCCAATGATGTTTGATGAGGACAAGGTACGAATGGCTTTCGTTGAAAGAGCATAAAACTAATACTTGCAGATTGATACCAATCTACCATGTAACAATGATGCATGGGACTTGGGTGTAAAGGAAAGCACATGCTCGTTGGCTGCGGCATTAACTCCTGAAGGTGCTTCCACGATATCATCTTTTGCCGGAGTTATCCTGTCAGCGTGTCTGTTCGGGCGCAATGCACAGCACACGCTTAAGAGTGGTCGAGAGGATGGTGCCAACGATCTCGCCAATGGTGCATTCTGGAAGAACCACAGGAAAATGGACAATACATTGTCTAGTACATTCATGTTTTTACCTGATCACCTCAGATTGCCTGCTGGACTGAGGGATCCAAACATTGTCTTTTTCCATATGAACATACATTGTGCAACAATGTAAGTATAATGCTAGATGACGATGTTACTTTCTGACAATGAATCAGCTGTTTACATCAAGGGGCAGTCTTGACTGCTGAGCGGGAAAATATCAGTCAATCATTTATAAGCCAAAGCGAAGCGAGAAGCTTGATGGCAGCCGAGGAAATAACGAATTTGATGCGCATGATTAGTCATTTAGATGCATGCAAGGTATGTTCTTGAGGGAAAAACTTCCGTGTGAGAGATTTTAATGTCAAATAGATGAGTTCATGGATAGGCTTTTGTCTTTATGTTGCTTCTGGTGTTATCCTCCAAGATACAAGGAGAGATAGACCCAACCCACAAAGTTCGAGTAATTTAGAGTTTATGATATCAGCTATGAAGGCTGTTGGGAAAAAGCACCTCATCGCGAGACACTTTAATGCTCAACTTGAACTCGAGATGAAGACACAGAGAGTCGATCGCAACGATATAGCAAACAGTCTTTATGATTTGCATAACTCTCCAGAAGTAGACGACCCGGATGTTTGCGTCTTCCCTCATACCTACCGAAGAAGAGGTCCAAAGGATCAATCTTCTCGTAGCTCAATTGATACAGGTCAAACAAGAAGCATGTCCGCCAATACACCCCCTGAAGCCACACAACAAACACCGTACGAGGCCATCTCTAAAATAGCACCTGCTTGGCCCTCTACGACAAACTTCCCTCCACAACTGAATCAGCAAGGAGATTCAGGAAGTGAAACAATTGATACTGACTTCAGTTGGCCTCCAACTGGAAATACACCTTCTTCAGAATCTACGACTTCTAATACAACATATCCGTATCGCAATTCAAAATCTACAGACTCGAATTCGAATTGGACTTTTGATCCAGAGGCAACGCGATATATGGTAGATCCACTGTCTTTGAATGGCTCGAATAGAGATATGGGGAATGAATTGCAGGATAATGTGTTATTGAATGATTTGCTTAATGGTGCACCTGTGAGTTTTTTTTGTGATTTGTGTGATTTAGGGCATGAGGACTCTGGTAATAGACATCTACTGACGAATACATGATTTAGTGGGATAATAATTATCAACAAGTTGGTCTGGATTCACGGCATCCTAGTGGATAGGGGGAGGGTGCCTTTTTTTTGGTGGAATGGGAAAGAAACTTGTACAATATTATATACACATATATGGATACCTAACAATCTCGGAATATTAGACAAGATTTCTACTCCTTCAACCTGGTCTCCTAGATTTTTTCACGGAATTAGTCGAACTTGGTTGTCTTGCTCGCTTTTGATATTTTTGTGTGTATGGTGTTTGCTCATAATGGTAATTCAATTTTTGGCGTGATACCTAAGTATCGATTCTCATCTAACCACCCCTTCTCAAGACAGACAGACCGATCTCTACGGCTGGGAAATCGGCCAACGATTCTATCTCACCCTTGGAAGCCATCATATCGAGGCACTCAACTCGAGGATCCTGTTCTTATTCCAAAACCCAAAGCATTGGAAGCGGTAGCGCCCGTATAAATTGACGAGAATCTGCATTGTGGATCTCCTCGCTTGGACGAATTCTACGATTGATATTGTTGAGGAGATCGATTCATTAGGTGTGAATCAAGGGGTTTGGATTGAGTAGGTGGTTGGATGTTGGAAGTTGGATATTGGAAGTTGGATGTTGGATGTTGGAGGTTGGAAGTTGGATGTTGGAAGTTGGAGGTTGGAAGTTATATGTTGGGTAGATATGTTGAGTAGATATGTATGTTTTATGGGGTGGTTATGATTGTGGGGAGTGAAGTTGTGTAGTGTGGATTGTGGGTTGTGGATTGTGGATTGTGGATTGTGGATTGTGGATTGTGGATTGTGGATTGTGGATTGTGGATTGTGGATTGTGGATTGTGGATTATGGATTGTGGATTGTGGATTGTGGATTGTGGATTGTGGATTGTGGATTGTGGATTGCGGTTATGGGGGTGTTGTTTGGGTATATGGAGTGAATTAATGAAGGGGGTTGATTGGCTTGTTTGTCTGTTTTGTTGTGGGTAGTTTTTTTTTTTTGGAGAATACATATTTGAGTTTGTGTTTTGGGAGAGGAGGATTCGGATGTTGTGCATGTGCCATTGTATCGTTATATCATCGATAGAAGCGTGCATTCAAAACTCCGTTCATTACATATATGAAGGAGTTGTTGCGAGTGCTGAGATATGATGTGATGTGATGTTTTAGATTAGTTAGTGTTGAGATATCACAGTTGAGAATGGGAATTTCATAAGCGTTTGGTGGGTTTTCTGTTACATCTATATCTATTTATGAGATATATCGCGGTGGGTATGAGTGAATTATATATTCTCAAGTATCTGGGTAGGTAGGTAGGTAGGTTCTATCTCCGCTATAGTGGTCCTATATACTTTTCGACTAGCTGTTTGGAATAATAAATATTCTATATTTTGGTGGTTATTCTAGTTCGCAATATCTTATTGTTTTAAGAGAGATGGTATAAGACAAAATCAGCGTCTTCAATCCCCGGCTGGCTGGTTGTTCTTATATACCCGTCTAGTTCAGAGCATCATAACATGAATCTGCAACATCGAAAGGAGTCTCGAGTAGCGTAATACACGTAATACAGTGATAGTGATAGATATTACAATACAAGTACTCATCTGATGATTCCAAATCGTGATGTTGAGAGCTTTTCATCGCTCAGATTTCTTTAGGGAAATGAAGAGTTCTCGTCTCAGGGGGTAGGTATATTATCATTTTCTAACAATGAGCAATCTTACTGGGTTTATTAAGTTTGAATACTTTAATATCTTCATTCGAGAATCTCGCGCGATATATCTCTTCACCCGAGCCCGTTGACTATCTCTTGCGCGCTCTCTTCGTTATACCCTATTTCATTATACTCTATATCCTCAACCTCACTCGTAGTCTTTCCATCTTCCATCCCATCACTGCACCACTCTTCCCCATTCTTTAGCATCAACCATCTACTCTCCCGACCATTCACTCAACACTCTTTCGGATCATACCTCGGCATAGGTAGTTCTTTACAAGCCCCTCTCACAAAATCCACACCATCTCACATTCGTCAACAATATAATCATCCCATCACAATACTGAATCTCCACTTCTTCAACTCAATCATCATTCTTTCTCGAATTCCTACCTCAGGTATCATAATCCCATCTATCGATAAATGATCAATCATAAGATCCGCCACGAGAACAGGATAGAGAGATCGTAAGTCACATGTCGGGTAGTCGATAAATAACTTGCATGCAGGTATTATTCGTATGTCTCGCTCCAGTATTCTTCAATCATAGATGATACCGAAAAAGTGAAAGGAGAGGAAGAGAATCAGAAATTGATTATTCGTGACATTATATTCTGTTTCTTTCAGGGGAGAACTAGGTTTGTGGAATTCGAGACTTGGAGATGGAGGGCCCGGGTGAGAAACTCGCGTGAGTCTTCATGGCGGATTTTCTTCTCGGGGTGCGCTTCTATAGTGCTTGTGCAAACTGTGGGTGGGTCAGCTATATTTTGTAGAGATGTGTGATGGGTTTGCTGCAAGCTGATGCTAAAAGTTATAAAAATGGGATCTTTTGGAAGGATTCAATAATGTGCTATCACACTCCAAAAGCAGCCCATAGCACGAGTGATAAAGGGTGAGGACCAAATAGTCAATAAATGCAAGATGAGATCGCAGTCAGTGTTTTACCACTGAACAATTATGTCTTCATTTCTGGCAGAGGATTCTAAAGAGAATTCTAGAGAGTTATCGTATTCTCCCTCACTGCTCGCCATATCAGTTCATACCTATACAGTGCGATTTTCATACTCCTAAAATATCCACTGACGCATGAGAGTCTCTCAATTCCACAATCCTCCCTCTAATAGCGTCCTTCTCCTCATCCGTCAAAGTGATTCCAAAAAACTCCCTAATCATCTCCACCCTCTCACTTTCGCTCTCACAGACCTTAACCAGCCGCGTCTTCCCACCCATATTCTCCTTCACCATCTCATTAAACAACATTCTCTTCCCCACAATCGTTTCCTTCCCCTCCTCATCCTCCCCCACCACAAAAGCCACAATCAAAACATTCTTCGTCTGAAAATTTCTGTCGCTCATATTCGTGCTCACAAAATAATTCATGATTTCGAAATCCTCCGGCAGGAATTCATGTTCATTGAACGTGTACCAAGAATTCCATTCCTTGTCAGGTCCGTTGCGATATTGAAATATCCAGAGCGGTTTCGATTGATCGATTTGTTGCGGGATGGGTTCGTACACGAGACGGATTTCCTGGGTTCCGAGATTGTGAATCGAGTGGCCGGAAATGAGAGGGAGGGGTTTGGTGGCTCCGTCACCGCCAAATGCTACGTCGATCATGTATTTGTCGGTGTTGGGAAGTGTGACTATATTTACGATATGGAACCTGGGACGCTGTTAAGTCTGAGGGGGATTGAGGTTGGGTTTGTGTTGTAAGCGAGGGGTATTGTAGGTAAGTAAGGGGTTGTCGTCTTACCAGCCGATATAGTTTCCCCGTGGAACACCGTCGTATGCGGATCTACGTCTTATTCTGACGCCGGCGGTATATACTTGGAATCCCAGTGCTCTTAACACGTGATTGAAAAATGTGCTACCTTCTAAACAATATCCACCTCTTCCTCGAGCATTGGTTATGATTTTTATGAAGAGTGCTTGGGGGTCTAGTGATACCGAGTGATCGGGTGAGTAGTGTAGCAGTAGATTTTCATAAGGAATAGTGGAGATGTGACGGATGTGTAGAGATGTTAGATAGTCGAGGGTAAGTGCAGGATTGTTTCTCCGTCGATATTTGGAGGGGAGAGAAATGTACTCTTCGTACAGGTTGATTTGCTCAGAGGAGTATGCAGAAGTCATTTTGAAGGGTGTAAAGTTGTTTGTATCTTTACCAGAGAAGGAGCCTATTACCTATACTTACCGGTTATACAGGTATGTATATGTACAGCAAACTTCGCCGTATGAGTCAGGACTCATAACCTTTTGCATACGTCGGATCGGATTATCTATAGATAAGTACCTGTGGTTTAACCATTTTGATGATGGGAGCAAACTGACCGAGTAGATGCATACCAATAATATGACCAACAGTGAGTTGATTGTTCAAAGTGGGACCAAAAAGACGTGCTCACCAGCCACATGTGGCTTGAGGTTATATAGAGCCCTGGAGATCCATGGATAGGTAGGTGGGAGGTATTTCGACGCAAAATCTCCATTTACCTCGTATTTGTAAAACTACGAAAATCATATATCGATTGAGGTGTATTATGGTAGCGACAGAGAGCTTTGCTGCCCAACGGACCCAGCATGAGAGATAACTATCGTCTCTTTCCTCGGTAAGGGAGCATTTGTCCAACTACTGGGTCACCAAACGCGTCCATCTCTTGCAAGTCACTCGCGACTTTAACCCTTAAACCCCCTTTTTCGATCTGCAAACCGAGAAAATATTCTCACCACCCTTGCAAGCATCGCCGTTGAGTTTCCCGAATAGCCTGCGGGATGTAGCTGTCATCACATCCACCGTTATGAAGATTGCAGATCGATAGGAATTGATACTTTGAAGGGTTGTTTCAGAGTACTCGAGTAGCCAATGAGAAATCATTGTGTTCACAGCCTTTCGATTCGAGCTACCATATGCGAGCCAAGAGATGATGTAACTTTCATCTGATGTAACCTTGTTCCCTTTTAAGGGTCGAGAATGGTTCCGATTAAGTGTCACAATGATTATCTTACGCGTTTGCGGAGCATCTGTTTAGTTGATGGTACTAATCGGGAACGAGACTTCCATAGTTTGGGAATTGTACGGTCGGACGATGCCTCGGAAATCTAAAATCTTGTCCCGAGCATGAGTTACAAGGATAGACTTTGGTCTTTGGCCCCAATCGGGAAGCTCGATATGGAGTGTATCCATGGAATCCATTCTACTGGTTTTATATGGTTTCTTCAACTTACATGGAGTGGCAATGGTAATATTCTCATGGCAAAAGAAGGATGGTCATCGGAAGAGATTTTCCCTCCATGTCTTACATCATCTCTCCACTCGATCGAAATGAACATCCTCCATTCAAATGAACGAATCAACTCTCATCATTGCTACGTTTCTGCTCCAATGGATCAAAATATTATCATCATATCTGTGGTACCGTCCAAAGTAACCTTTCTCAAAGTAGTAATGCTCACGAAGTTGTGGGGATGCGCCCCAACTAGTCCTAGTCAGATCGTCAGTGCTCGGAGAGTATTTCATACCAAAGGAGTGGCATGAAGCTAAGAAACAAAGTCGGGATTTTCATGTCCTTGGTTTCGTAAAGCTTTATATCTCTTGTTTGTGTTGCTATTTTCACATCCTATATACAACCATATCCAACACCGTCAAGATGCATTCTCCAGATTACCTGCTCGGTCTTGCCAATATCAATCCGGAATTAGAAGAGGTACATAGTAACATGTACTCTATTTGTTACTTGTGCTTTCATACTAAAACAAATAGATCTTGAAGGTTTCACCAGTGCAGCGAAGGATTAACGCCGATACCGATTTTCCAGAGCTAAGAAAACGACTCCTGGCGACGGAGAAAGAACTCGTTGCAACCAGCACAGCATCATTAAATGAAGCTTCATTCATCGAAGAAGATCGTCAAATACCAGCTCGAGATGGTTTCTCCATTGGGATCAGAATTCACAAACCGAAGAATCCTCCCAGTGGAGGTAGCCCTGTCTTTGTGGTTTACCATGGTGGTGGATTTAGTTTAGGTGGTTTAGATAATGAAACTGTTCTGTGTAGACAGTGGACGGAGTTGGGAGGAGTGGTGGTAAATGTTGACTATAGACTTGCACCTGAACACCCATTCCCTACAGGTGTGAATGATGCTTATGATGCCTTGAAATTGGTAAGTGTTGTGTCGCATATGACGCTTCTGGACATATACTAATGAATGCGGCAGACTGCTTCAAATTTGGAAGAGCTTGGAGTCAACCCAACAAAGGGCTTTTTGGTTGGAGGAATCTCAGCCGGTGCCAACTTTGCATCTATAGTCTCACATTTATATCGAGATGAGAAATTATCTCCACCATTGACTGGCGTCTATCTCTCGATTCCCCCTGTTGTTTCCCGTAAAGTGGTACCAGAAAAGTACAAGAATACATACTTGAGTCTCGAACAGAACAAAGATGCTCCATCATTGAACAAGGAAGTTGCAGCAACATTTGACAGTAAGTCATCCCACATCTTACTCCGATCCACCATTCCTAACAAATTAGGACTCTATGCGGCAGGCGAACCAACACACTTACTCACCCCAATATTATTCGAATCTCATAAGGACTTACCCCCGACATATTTCCAAATTTGTGGTCTGGATCCTCTTCGCGATGAAGGATTTATATACGAAGATATATTGAAAGAGAATGGAGTTGAAACCAAGACAGATATATACCCAGGCCTACCGCATGGTTTTTGGTCCTGGTTTCCCGAAGCGGAGTTCACGAAGAAATTTATAGAGGATTGTAAAAATGGGATGTCTTGGTTATTGGAAAAATCGTCGAAATAGTTAGAATAAGATGATTGGACATCTGCTGATAAATCGCAGAAATACTGTAAATATACTAGGTACTTCCAGAATCTTGACTTAATTCATATACCTTGCGCGTACGGGCATGATGATATCTTGAGCTCATAACAACGAATCCTATTGCAGATCGCAAATCAAATCTCGTCCTGTTCCATGATCGAGTGATGATTTAGATATCACAATACAATCTCTCAATCCCAATCTCGTTCTACAAAATCCGGCAAAGCAGATCTCACATCTTACTTAAAATACCTCACCCGAATCTTAGCATTCAAGAATATCAATCCTCATAATTCCATTCTCCTTAGATTGACAATATCATCCCTTCTACAAAAAATAAATAAATCCTCGCAAAAAGATATTTTTTCAGGTACGTACACAACATACCTACCTGCAAGTAATTCCTGGAGAGAATTATCATTGGTGGGGTCAGCTGACGGGCAACTAATAGGCGGGGAGATTGTTCGAGGCGCTCTTTCACGAATATGGATATGGATGACTACACGGTACTGAGGCTATTGTCGCTTGTTTTCGATGATACCTGGTAATTTATTTTTTGTCCACAGTGGATTTTATAATATACGAATTTTGACATTTTTGTTCTTTGCTTTAAATACAATATAAAGATGTTGTTGGACTTGCTGCGACTATGGAACATTTTCATCTATATATCGCGACTTCCGATGTCTATATGATGGACGATATATCGAATATACCATCCGGATAAGAAAACGCGACATCTTTGATGCGAATCCAAACCATGATAGATCTATGATCTCTGATCTATCGTTACCCATAAGCATCCATAACACCAATACAACTCCTACCCAACCCGCCACAAAGAACTACAATCCGGACCAAAGATCTACTCTCTCCACAACCACTTCTCAAACTCCTCATCACTCAATCCCTTCGGGATATCCTCCACCTTACTCTTCCACCTCTGCGACCCCCCATAACTATCATCCTTCTTCGGGTCTTTTATAAAAACCAACGCTTCCACCGCGCCTTCACTATCCTCTCCCTCTCCCAATACCTTACTCTCTCTATACTTTTTCGCAAACGCGCTTGCACGCGCTAGATCCCCATGACGATTACAAATCTGGAACGCATCCCAGTACACTCTCCCGGTTCTCTGATCTTTGATTCCCTCCTCCCGATAAATTGTCTCGAGAGATTTACACGTCTTGAGCACTTTTTCCGGGTTCTTCATAACTGTTTCCGCATGACCGATTGCTTGGTCCAGAGCGGCTGCACGAATGAGTCGGGCGTCTGATTTTTTAAGTTCAGCGGGTGGAAGCGTGCAGAGAGAACATGTGCAGTCGAATTTGAAGAATTCTTTTAATTCGGCTTTGCGTTCTGAAGAGGGACCGCCCACGTGATAGGAAGTAGTAATTTCTTCTCCAGGTTGGATTTCCCGCACCGCGTGCACGAGGAATTCCTGACGTTTGGGGTTCCAGGAGTGTTGGGTGGTGGGGAGACAGGAGTGGTTGATGCGGGAGATGTCTTTAAAGATGCCGCCGATGGGCGAGTTGGGGCCGAGGGGGTACGCGTTGGAGCGGATGATGTTTGTGAGGGGGGAACCTTGGCCGGGGTAATTGTTGTGGAGAGAGAGATAGGCGCGTTGAGATTCTTTTGGGAGGCCCCGGAGGAGTTTCGCGAGCTGTTTTTCGACGGTAGAGGGTGAAGTGAGGGTTTCGGTTGTGAGGAGCGGCTTTTCGGCGAAGAGGAGGGTTCCTGGTGCGATGAGCTGTGTTGCGAGAACGCCTTGGCCTTTTCCGGGGATGAGCTTGATTTCCCAGAGTGGAGTGGAGGTATTATTGGAGGTGTACTCCGATGGAGGAGTATCTTGACTGGGAGACATGATGTGATGTGATATGATGTGATGTGATGTGATATGATACGATACGAATCATAAATACAGGGATTCCACGATACGTTTATATTTCTATACAAAAGTTTCTCGGTCAGGAGTCTGCCGAGCAGAGTTTGTGTGCGCAAACGTGGGTAAGATGATGAGAGGAGAGGAGGGGAGAGAAAACGAGATCCGATATATAAAAACTGTCAAGAGCAAAAGCGAAAGCAAAATTCTATCTAAGGCTAGGTACGTGTCAAAACTCCCGACAAGCATGATGAGATAAAATCTTTTTTTCTCCCCCCTCTTAGTTTTACCTATGCGCTACTAAAGTTTGAGGTTTTTCCCTTTTGGGTAAAATTGTCGAGGAGGTGGAAACTCATGCGTGGGCCGTGAAGCGTGGATATATGATGTAAGATTTCGGGGGCATGTGTGATTGGTGGGTACGCTTCTGAGTGAGTGAGTGATCGACGATCGTTCTTCTTCTTGTCTTTTTCTTTTCTGTCGCTATACAGAGTAGACTATCCCGTCATCTCTAGAGAATGTATACCCATCGCTACCTACCTAGTAGATATCATGCGTGGAAAATCAACACTGTTCAAATTTTATCAGATGCTGAGGATCAGGAGAGGGACTTCTACGACGCTTAATTAGTTATCCTAAATTCACGCTACTTCCTCTACGGCATATCGAATTAGTCTATAGCACACCGAATCCGAGCTTGCGAATACTACGCACGTGCTAGCTAGACATCGAGATTCGGATATCCATATCCTTCCTACCTAGGATCATTTATCCGTAGGGCTGAATGCACACTTTCGTATCAAAGTAACTAGGTAATAACTACATGATAGGGAACATTTTCAAATTTAAATATGTATTTGTATACATACATACACTTGGATTCCTTTTTTACATGCTAGTTTTCTTCTTTACTATATAGAATTTTTGCTTCAATATATGTATATGATAGTATAATTTTCTTCAAGTAAAGCAGGATTATCCAGTGTACCGAGGATTGACCGTTGCAAGGTTTATTATAAATAAATAAAACTCTGCTAATAATGGAGGTTCAGTATTGCTAGTACATGTACTTGGATAGATGACACTTCAAACTATATACAATTGGAAATTCTTATATGCACTAGCCAGATAGCTATAAATTTCATGAATCAGAGACGCAATTATACTTTTTTTCCACAAGTAAATCCTAGTATCTCCTTGCACACTCCACTAATCCGATACCTAATATTATTACAAGTGCTATGATTTTTTTTTTCGCATTCCGTAAATTCATCCCCATCGATGAGATTTGCGTAGTTTCTGTTGATCTTTGGGTTCTTTCTATTGACGTTGGTTCAAGATCCGTATTTGACCTCCCAAGTTGGGAATGATTTGAAGCTTCCAAGGGGGTGACTTATCTCGCCGGTCCTGCCGTAATATTATTTATCTGAAACACTTTGATTGTCGTTGTAGCTAACCCATTATCTTGTGTTTGGATTTGTAGTATCGAGGAAATTTTTCGCTCTTCGCGATATGATTTCCACATCCACATCTAGTAGAGAGTTATGGTTGTATCGCGCCCTTTCTATCCAAGCAATTTTTATTAACATTGTTCCTCAATTCTGAAGGGGCCACAAAATCCCTGTGAAACATGAACCTCAATGTGCCTTTCCCATTCGTTCGCCTATCTCACTCACAAGCATGCGTAACCCCTTTCGCCTCGCCGCTGATGTACTACTTAAGAATAAAGCGGCAACAGGCCATGCGTGAATACCACCTATTTGTTCTTGTCCTCGAATTTCCACCTTGCCTGATTTTTTGAGAAGCATGATGAGATCACGAGTCTCTGGCGCAAATACCTCTTCCGAGCCATAAGTGATGAAGAAACCTCTGGTAGGACTGGCCATTCTCCACCAGTCTAAATCTTTACATGCTCCTGGTGAGATTGATGGATCCAAGACAGAAGCTCGAGATCCAGCATATTGATGAGCATAAAGATGTAAGCTATCTGCATCTAGATAGTCGCTTGAAGTATTCTTATGTTGTGGCGATTCCAGGGTCGTCCATGGAGATATTAAAACAGCCATTGCAGGAGTTTCGGTATGTACCCTTTCAATGCTTGGATCCGAGTTTGCAATATCTGGCCTAGCTATGTGAAGAAGCAGGCTGAGAATCAATGTTGCTCCAGCTGAATCGCCACTGACACAAATTTTTGAGGGGTCGTCGGTCATTGACAAGACAAACTTGTAACCGGCAAAGGTTTCGTGAAGCTGCGTTGGATATGATTCATCGGGTACCAAGCTATACTCTAATGCGAAGATGGCAGGATTTCGAAATTTTCTAGAGTCTTTGAGAAGATTCAACCACGCAAGAAGAAATTCGAGATAGAAATAGCTTGATCCCATTGCAAATCCGCCACCTAAAAAAATTTAGTGACTCGAGGTTAAATCATAAAACATGTACACCTACCATGAGCATAATAGATCACAATGTCTGGTTCCTTCGTTTTGTCCGCAATGATCCAAATCCCTTTCACGTTGTCCTATAAACTTCAATTACTTTCAGGTTATTAGCGATGGAGAGCATGTAAAAATTACCTGGTTGACCTCATTCCAATGAATTGGAGATTCAGTATACCCATGACGAAACATGCGAAACTTGAAAAATGGCAATGCAACACCTTTTGAGAAGAAGACTCGACCAATATTTGCTGGGATGTAGGCAAAGGCATAACGAACACAACGGACGACTATATCTTCAAACCATGAGGCCTGTTGAACAAAAGGTGATCGTTGTTCACAAGGTGTAAGAAAACGTTCCTTGACGAATGATAGAGGAAGATTGATTACTGCGTGGCTGTTAGTATTATATTTATAATGTGCCTTGGACTTGGATATCATCTACACAAAAATGGCAATGCTTGTAGACCACAACTAGCAGTCTGAATGAAGCCGACATGGATGATCAATTGAGGTGTAAGGAAGAATAGAAAGACGACAATATCTAGCCACGAAACTTGACCTAGAAACATGATGAAAAGTAAATTGATCAATATGACATTATTGAGAGGATGTAAATGTAAAAAAGAAAGTAACAATGAGAGAGAAGGGTAGAAGGGGAAGTTTCTAATAAGTCTAATAAGGTACTATACGACAGCTGGGCAGCTAGAGGCAAAGTTCATTCATTTCTCAAGCCACTCCATGTTAGTCAGCATCATTAGCCACAACAACTACTCAGGTGAAGGTTCCTTCAATTCCAGCTGGAGGTGAATTGTCGAATCAGCATTGAAGAGAATCAGTAGTTTGCTGAAAGGCCGCTGTACTGCTATCAAAAACGGTGAGAAAACATACAGAATCTACTCACGCAACTGAGCAGGCAATGTTTCTATAACAAGATACAATATCATCTTATTATTACTCTACAGTACAGATATGGCAAGATCACGTGTGTGGTATATCACTTCTCGGAACTAAAAAGTTTAATTGCCGACCACCTTGCAATCAATTTATGTATGGGCAGCAAGCTAAAAACTTGACATCTGCCTCGTCGCAAATGCAAACACGACCATTGTCAAACTTATAACGTCTTCATTAATATCATGAGCCTCTTTGTATGACTTTTTTGCACCCATGCAAATAGAGAGCCGTCCATTCTTTTACCCTTTCTTTCCTACCTCAATCTCAGGTTTATGACAAACCAGCCTTAATCAGTACATACATATCTTTCGATCTTTGAATTTCGGGTTAGGAAGCTCAATATGTCTGCGCCCACTGCAGCTCAAGCTGAACTCATCAGGTATGTTTTCCAAAAGTTTCAGTACCATTTGACAATGGCTCACACTGCTCCAGCTCTCTATCTCAAGATGAGATTCCAATCAAGTTGCGATGCGCCATATGTAGCAAATTAGCAGTCAATGCTTTTCGTATGCCTTGTTGCGATCAGGCTATCTGCGAGACTTGTAAGCTCACCACTTGCGCATTGAACAGTGTCAGGTGTTAACTTGTCAAAGGTCATTCTACTCTTCCTTCTTCCTGTCCGGTCTGCGAACACACACCGGTGGCTTCGGAGGATTGCAAACCTCACAAATCATTACGAACCACGATCAAGGTCTTTTTGAGAACAGAGGAGAAGAAGCGCGTTGATGCCGCAGCTAAGCAAAGTAAAGAAACGCCACCAGCTACACCTGCAGATGCTCTACCAACTCCAACAGAGTCGAACAGTTTAGCCGGACCTGTTGATGGCACTCCAAATATACAGGAAGACACTGCATCTTCAAACCAAGTATGGACAGATACCGAGTCTGCTAAACCTGCGGAGAATAATATCGCATCGGCAGAAGCCGGCGCATCGGAAGAAGCACAATCTGAAGCGCACGATGTTCCACAGCCCTCGATTGAGGTATGATCACAGGATTACAACTATGAATGGACCTTAGAGAAACTAACATTGAATAGGAGATTGCACCTGGACAAGAGTCTGAAGAGGGCGCCAAGCAGGTAGACGCACCAGTTGACGATGACAAGGGTGACGAAAATGACACTGCAGAGAAAGAGGGCCAAGATGGCACAGCTCAAAATGCGGCTTTTGGAAGTGGTTTCGGATTTGATCAATCTTCTTCTGGTGGCTTTCCCGGCATGGGCTTTTCTGGCGATTTCAACCCAATGCAGATGATGATGGCAATGCAGAATGGAATGGCTCCAGGAAGTTTCGGGAATTTCCCCATGATGGGTATGTTTGATGACAAACTATGTAGCGAATGGAACACTAACTACTATTGTAGGAATGCCGGGAATGAATATGGATCCAATGACGATGCAAAATATGATGATGAATGGTGGCTTTGGTGGGGCAGGCATGGGCATGAATGGCATGAACATGGGTATGGGTATGGGAAACTTCGATGGTGGTGTAAATTCTGGTTTCAATAATGGGTGGAATCCCCAACAATCATGGAATGTCGGACCAGATAATTTCAATCATCCAAATGCTGCTGGCATGGGCCCTGGTGATTATGGAGCAAATAATTCTGGTTTTCCACAAAATGCTGCAGGATTTAACCAAGGTAATTATGGACGCGCAAATCAGTACAATGACCATCAAAACAGTTATTCACAATTCCAAGGCCGTGGACGAGGTAGAGGCAGAGGTGGCTGGCAACAAAGTCGGGGTGGTTATGGACATGGTTTTAATGATCACTCCCATAACTCACAGCAGCTATTTGGCCAAGGTCAGCAATCTTCTGAATCATATAATGAAAATGATCCAAACTCTGCAAATCCGAAGGAAGATGATGAATCTGGAAGCGCGCCTAAAGTCGATGAGTTTGGCAGAGAATTACGCCAAGAAACCCCTAAGAACGAAGCAGAAGGTGGCGCTGACAGCATTAACACTCAAAATGCCGAATCTTCTGCGATTAAGGACGACAAAGCACATCAAGTAGACCCAGAAGATGCCTCACAAGATGTCTCTTCGGGATTTGGGAATAATGACTTCACCCCACAACCCATACAATCACTGGAGGCAAATGAATCTGCCGCTTTTGCACCGATGCCCATGATTGGAGATGGTTTCAATACTATGTCCCCTGTAGATCCAGACATGCGCTTTTTTGGCCACCCGAGAGGTGGATTTTCACAATCACGTGGTGGTCGTGGTGGGAGTTTCTCTGCCATGCAACCTTCATTTGTGAAGCCTGTTGACGTACCTATCAACGCACCCACTGGACCAAAAGCTATGCGCGAGGGACCAAAAGCAGCCCTTCCCCAGATTAGAACTCACAGTTTTTCCATCGCGGGTAAAGCTGGCGCTAGTGCGCGAGGTAGTGTTAGTGGTGTTAGTGTAGCACCAGAATCTGCCACACAAGATAGAGGACGAACTAGGTCTCCCTCACAACAGAAGGAGAAAGCAAGATCAAGATCAAGGTCCAAGTCTAAAGATCACAAGAGAGACAGGAGTAGAGAACGACGTCATAGACGCAGACATAGATCCGCTTCTCGATCTCGCTCTGAAGACGAGGAAGAAAGTGAGCGACGACGAGAAAAGAGGCGAGAGGAGCGTAGACGTCGTCAACTCGAGACTGAAGCAGATCTCTCACGTAGTGCAAAAGATGCTAAGCCTGAGAAAAAGAATGAAGATGATAGGAGAAGAGATGACGAAGATAGATCGAGGTCAGCCTCACCACAGGAGTCAAAGAGATCAAGTCATCGAAGCAGCCGTCGTGATCGCGACAAATATCGTGATAGAGAAAGAGATGACGACAAACATAGGTCTTCGTCTCATAAGCATCGTTCTAGCCATCGTTCTCACCGTGATGAACGTTCCAGAAGTCGAGAACGCGAACGTAGCGAACGTGACCGTGAAAGGGAGCATCGTCATAGACAAAGTCGTCATGCATCTCGTGACGTTGAGGAGAGGGTAAAAGGCGACACTCCCCTTCAAACTCCTACTGAACCAAGTCATGCGCCTAGAAAGTTGTCACTCATCTCGAATGGACTCAATGGCATTGAAATTAAAGGCGCAAGCTCTCGCAACAGATCATCTAAAGACATCGATATGCCCCTAAACATCCCTACCGGACCGAAAGGTGGTCAGCGGGATCGTGATCGTAAACGCGAGAAGGATCGCTCAAGTCATCACACTGAATCTCGCAGCTCTCGTAGAGATTCTGAGCGAAATACTACCTCCTCGCGCGATCAAGAAAAAGAACGCCCCGAGAAGAAAAAAGAAGATGTTGATCCACATACCCTAGAGCGAGAAGCACGTAATAGAGAAAGATTACTGAAAGAAGCACAACGTATTGCAGGTCTCACAAGTGCTTTTGGCACCGGTAGAAAGAGGAGTCGTGATGACATTGATGACAGTAGTGGGAAGAAAGGAAGGAAGAGGGGCAAGCGAGGCGGTGTAGCAAATAGGGACGGCGGAGATGACACTGACGAGGCCAGAATTGCTAGATTAGAGGCAGAAAGGGAGAGTTCGAGATGGGCCTAATTGATGCTCTTCGTGGCGTAGCTTAATACCTAAATCTGTCGTACCACATTTGACCAGAAGTCTGAGACTCTACACGTACTCGGCATGAATATGATTTGCGCATAGTGATTTCTCGCCCAGAAATAACATCGAATCGTAACTTTATCAATGAATAATACAAACGGCAATTTAAATAGGGCTAGTTTGTCTGCATTTTAAAGTCGCAAGTAAGGATTACATTATGAAATGGTTAGCTTGAGTTATGTTATACCCCGCACTCCACTTTAGGGTTCGTGAAATGGATGATAAAATGAAGGGAGGGAGTGGATTGATTAATCGCATCGAGACAGTCGGCAATTAAGCAGTGGAAATAAAATGATCTTAATGAATCTTTGATGAATTTGTGTTGGGTGCGTGATGTGTGATACGAGTGTATGAGTTTATGAGTTTATTATGAGTGAGTTGGGCGTCTTTTCAAGTTATATGGAGATTTCTGCATGTGAGTTGTTGGTTATCAGGGCTTTTGTGTATGTGTATATGTTAGGGGTTTTTTATGAGAGTGGGGGTTGTATTGTTGTGGTTTGATTGGGTTGGAGGGGTGAAGGAGAGGAGTGAAGGGGAGGATAGATGGAAGAGATGGAAGAGGTGGAAGAGGTGGAAGAGGTGGAAGAGATGGAAGAGATCATCTAGCTATATAATATCTTTAGTTAAATTCTGTGATAAACTGCTCTCATATTCTCCAAAAGTTATTTGATTACCTGTGTACTGTGAGGAATACACCTGTTCTACTCTCTTGTTTCATGAATCCTATGATGGAATATGTGTCAAAGGTGTAGAATCGAGTCTCTGGTAGTTAGAATACAATTTTGTTTCTTTGAGGGATGCAGGTAGTTTGGAAGGAAAGTTGTGGTGTATCTATAGAATTTAATCTCTCACTAAAAATCTATCCTCGTACTATAGAAATTACCTTCTTTTAGAGGACCCATCTTCCCGTCCATCATAGAATCTAGTCGGAGGTGTCCAGAATCCCTCAATTTAAGGTCTATAATAAGAGCATGAGAGTAG